TCTATTTTTCTTCCCTTTTTTGTTAATTTTTTTTATCTTTTCCTTTTTATCTCCTTTTCTTTTACCTTCCTTAGGGCAATGTACAAAAATAAGGCTGAGCTAGTTAGCCCACTTATTATTATTAGCCAACAACAATTCTCTCCTGCCTATAACTTTTCTTTCTCCTATTTTGCAACTGCTCTGCTCTGCTTCTGCCTGTCCCTGCTATCAGTTTCCACTCCTCCCCTTCCTCTTCCCACGTGTTTGCTTGTTTGAGTGCACGCTCACGTTGGTTTATTGATGTCTGCGCTTGTGCCTGCCCACTCGCTCAAAAGGAGGTTTTAACCTCCGAAGTCCCTACCGCCCACCTGGAATCCCGAAATGCCCACTAGTGGGCGGTAGGGACCAGGTTGACAACCCATGGTTTAGAACGACTAGCATTCACGAGGAGAACCTTTACCCTTATACAGTAATAGGTTTCCTCAGAATTGGCAACTCTTCGGTGTGGATTATAGTTTCCCAACTGCCATTCATTTCCATATTTTGTAGAAACTGCTGGTCAACATCTCAGGTTGTGGAAAACCAATAAAAGGAAAGTCCTTCTTAAACACACACACAATTTGGCAACCCTCCTCTGCTCTTATCTTGGCAGAAGCTCCCATAGAGACTACGGTAGTTGTATTTCAAAGCAAATCTCAACTATTGTGTTCATCCTCATAGTGTAAATTCACACAGTGCATAGGGAAGAACAGCAGCAATTACGGGAAAAACGAAAACGCCAGCACCCACTGTTTAAATACGTTTTATTTCTTAATTTACATTATGTATGCGTATACATATATATATATATATCTATATATTCATTTATATATATATATTTTGACTGCTTTATTTTTATACTCTGAGATCCATAATCAATTTCATGGTCCTTTAAAAAATAAAATACCCATTTGTTCAATTTTGCTTCTGAAAGAAAATCAGAAAAAACAATTTGAGTCCTGCCTTGTATAACAAGAAAAACATTAGTATCACGCTTCCGTGCTTTCCACTTGTCAAAGTGATCATTAAAACGTCTCTTTTGGTGAAAAGTCTGAGAACAAAAATGCCAATTCCTCCAAGTCAGGCCTGGCTGGAAGAGGGAACGGGGGAGTTGGAAGTGGAGTCACTTCCCATCTTGCTGGGATCTTTGAAAGCGAATTAGTCTCATTTAAGGAGGAGAGCTGGGCCGAGGACTTGGATGACTTCCATTCATGACTGAGATTCATAGGCAATAGAAAACCGAGGCCCTTTTCAATATTTATGGATGTCTGCTCAAGAAAAATATTTTTCTTCTACTTTGGTGTAACCTCCAAGCCCCGTTCACTGGTTTTCATTTTATCAAAGCCTGGTTTAGCATCCCAAGTCAAATATTTTGCCCTAGTTTTACCATGTTGGGGTTCCTTCGAAGTGGCACTTGCCATTGGGCCAGCCGAGGACCAAAACAAAATACTCTTTTCTGCTAAAATTGGATTCCGGCGAGCGATCTTGGAGTTTCAGAAGGACTGGCCATATCTGTTGGAGTTGACTCTCTTCCTTGGCTGTGGGGGGTCTCTCGCTGGCATTGTTGGATCCAGCCCTTGGTTAGTCTGCTTGCTTTAGAGCCATTTGAATCCCCTACTACAATGATTTGGAACGAAGCTACATGCTAAATTGGATCCTAAAAAGAGAGCCAGGAACAATTTTGGCAGATCATATCAGGGCCGGTGAAGTTTAGAAGGAGCTGGAGCAGAGGTCTCCAACCTTGGCAACTTTAAGCCTGGAGGACTTCAACTTCCAAAATTCTGGGAGTTAAAATCCTCCAGGCTTAAAGTTGCCAAGGTTGGAGACCCCTGAGCTGAAGGATTCCAGACGCTGATCCTGCAACATTTTAGCTTCAGAATGAGAGCAACTGAATTGAACGATGCCACCATGCAAATCTAGATAACTCTACATGGGAAGGAGAGGAAACAGTTCCTCGGTGAACTATCCATGCTGAACATGAGTTAATGAAAACTCTGTATGCGTGCATGGCACGTGTATGAGAGACAAATCTATTAAAATCTGCTGTTTGAAACTAACTTGTAGCCAAGATCCATTTCAGATGGAACTAATTTCTGCTCCGTCTCTACTTTTCTGACATCTGGAAGGCTGTCAGTTTCCTGGAGATCTGGTGGAGCAGAGATGAGATACACAGAGGACTGGTTGGGATTAATGGGGCTTCACAGCCACGGGTCCTTTCTCAAAGCCAAAAGGGTGGACTGCCTATCAACCACCTCACTTCAACGTCCTGGGTACTTGAGAGACCGCCTGCTGCCAATTACCTCCCAAAGACCCATTAGATCACACAGATTAGGCCTCCTTCGGGTTCCGTCTACTAGCCAATGTCATCTGGCCACTACCCGGGGGAGGGCCTTCTCTGTGGCGGCTCTGGCCCTTTGGAACAAGCTCCCCGCAGAGATTCGGACCCTCACCTCTCTCCAGGCCTTCCGAAAAGCCGTTAAAACCTGGCTGTGTCAGCAGGCCTAGGGTTGATGAGTTCCCTTCCCCTCTCGAATTGTGTGGCTGTTGGTTGTTTTAAATGCCCTGTACTTTTTGTAGTTTTTGTGTTTTTCCCTCCCCCCTCCTTGGGTTTGTGTGCCGCCCTGAGTCCCGCTGGGAATAGGGTGGCATATAAATAAAATGAACCTTGAACCTCGAACCTTTGCAAAATTCAGGATGGAATTTTGAGGCCGTTCTCCGCTCTAGCTTGTAAACAGAAAAAAACAACCATTCTCTCTCTTAAAAAAGGGAGGGAGGAGGATATTGCCACTGGAAATGGTCAGTTGAGCCGTTTTCTTTTTTGGCCTGGAGAATCATTGGTAGATTGATAGTAAATGCTTGCTGTGATTTCTCTCCATTTCCCAAGAGACTGGGGGGAAATATCTGACATTCCCCTTGGAAAATTAGAAATCTCCAGTCATGCTGGACCCAAAAAACCAACAACAATTGATAGGTCTGAGGTAGCTCCAGCAGTAAACTGCTAGTGCAAATGACACTCTTAGGTAAAGCAAAAGGGGAAAAAACCAAAACCTATCCAGCTAATCCAATCTTTTTGGTGTCTTGCAGGGAAAAAATGGTATCCTACTACTTAATTGAAGAGCAGCAAACGTATCTGGGGAGCTCTAACCAGGAGGAAAAAACCCTGCTTTTTTGGGGAGGCTGGTGTAATGTCTCTACCTGAAGACAGGGTTGATGACCAAAGTAAGATTGTTAAGTAGTGTTAGCTGCTTGCTCCGTTAGCAGAAGTGGGTGTCTTCCTTGGCTGGAAACAAAGTCTATTCAGTTCCCCAGATGTCTCTTTTTGGAGATGGGACGATGAAAGAATCAGCACCCTTTCAGATTTAGGAGCAAGTGGTCATCCATGCCTCTGCAGACTACAAGGCCTCTTGTGTGCCCAGCAGACACCTTCATTTTGCTGAAACGCCACCAATCCATTGTGTCCGAGAGTCTGGATTTTCTCTGGCTCCAAGCATGAGGAGGGGGGAGGGATGAGGGGAGGGGGAGGTCTTCCACAGGTGCTCATTTTGTGGTTTAGTGGCAGCTACGAAAGATTGCCTTCATTGCCCGAGATGTCAGCTGAGAGGAAGGAAACAAAGAAGAACTGTTAATGTGGGGAGAAGGATACAGATGCTTTCACAGAGAGACAGTCAAATCTATAGCCCATTCTTTTGTACTGGCTTGGACCATTAAAGTGGCCGTGGCCAGAATCCAACAGGCTGCAAATTGCTGGACTGGCTGGAAAAATATATTCAGGTTTCTGTTGAAAGTGTCCCCTCAGACTTGGTGAATAACTGGTCATTTAAAGCACAAACCCAATGCTGCATCTTGGGTTTTCCTATTAAAAGAGCACAATGTGGCTCTTTACTACAGAGGGAAGATGTTGACTACTGTTCTCTCTCTTTTTCTCTCTCTCTCTCTCTCTCTCTCATCTCTCTCTCTCTCATCTATCTATCTATCATCCATCCATCCATCCATCCATCCATCCATCCATCCATCCATCCATCCATCCATCCATCCATCCATCCATCCATCC